CAATTTAATGAATCAATTAATTAATTAAATCCATTTACTCCTTCCTGTCCTCAACGTGTTTTCAATTCCATGTTCATTAGTAAAATTTTAACTAGACGTGTTTCATTAATTTAATGCAGACGGAGTAATAATTAATGATGGGAATGGAATGAAACCAGAATTATTCTACAGTAACAATAAAAGCATGAAGATTAAATAAATTTTTAATGAAACTCGTCTCCATAATTCTTGCAGCAAGTATTTTCTACATAGTGACAGGGAGATACAAGAGACTAGCATTAATCAAAATGTAGAAATAAAAAGAATGTGAGAATATTTCTCCCCCGGGGCGACTCCCCCGAGTCCTTGATTACATACCACTCAAGTTTTATCGCATTTTCACGTGTAAATCACGCGAGTGCAACATTCACGCATTTCCTCGCTGTTATTTTGCCCCACATTTCAGAATGTTAACACGTGACCACACGATTTTCTTAGAAAGTTTAAATAAAGACCAGAGTAAAGCGACTGAATTCATGGCCAGGATACAGTTAATTCATTTGTAACCGGATATTTGCAGCCACTATATGAATATTTAATTGCTTAGTGACAATGACATGAGCCATTCATCATTTGCTCACTCTATCACCTGATAATCTAATATCAAAACAAAAATGTGTAATCTGACAACGAGATTTCGTTGGGACATGTTGAAAGTAAATAGCTATTTTTTTATATGTACGTAATGAATGGGAATTCGTCAAGGACATAGAACCCTGGTGAACACCCAGATGAATGCAAATTTTTCTGGGTGAAAATGCGATGGCGTAAATGGAAATTGGAATTTCAAGTTGTACACGTGAGTCCTTGATTGCGGATACTAGTTGTAATTGTGTCGCACGTGTGTTCTGGCGAGTAAGTGGACATTGAATTAGATGTTGATATGATAAGACTTGAATTCATCGATGAGGAAAGAGAAACGGGATTGCAATGGCACGTGACAATTGCTTAGAAAGTAAAAATCCAGCCGAATACACGAGGTATGCAAGTCAAATTTTGCAATAATGGGGTTTACTCCGAAGGCTAGTATTTCACAATCCATGGAAAAAAAAATGGTGACCAGGGGGGGAGGTGTGTGGAGGGGTCAGCAATTTTTGTACTCAACTTTTTTTGTGGAAAAACGGGAATTCGAGTGGAAATTCCACCGGCGGTGCCTGTCAAAGAATTTTTCTCGAGACATTTTATTTGTGGGTTTTTTCATGTCAAACAGGTCTACGTTATTTGAAATTGTTAATTAACCTGATGGTCATTGTCGAAATATGTTCAATATTGAAAAAGGAAATTGTTCATCAATATAAATAAAAAATTTCAATTCAGACAAACGGGAAATATAAAAAAATATAGAATAGGGTATTTCTACATTTAACACATGTACTGGCAGAAACGATGAGTACATTGACTTTCACTTGATTTCATTAGACGTAACGCGAGCCCAAAGAATAATAATAAATGAGTTCATACCTTCCCAGTAATTCCACGACAACACGAAATAACGCAAAAAAAAAAATTAAAACAATGCCTAAGAAAAGTACCCTAGAGCCTTTAAAGTGTGAAAATTGCGAGTAAATAACGAAGAGTGAGGAAAACTAGATCTACAAGTGACACATAACTCACCTACTAAACTCGATTTATTTCAATTCGATTTCAATTCCGGGGGAGAAGTGAATTTACCCAAGAAATAGATTCCATAAAAAAAATGTTGTGCAGTTCGGAAATAAGGCCTACCCATACCTCGACAATTTCATGAAGTTACTGACCAGGAAGAGACTTGTAATACTCGCGTAAGTGTAAAACTCGTTACAGTCTCACGACAGATATGTTTTTCATTGCGTAGAAAATGATTTTTCTAATGCATTCTTATAAAATTAATGAGCCTCATTAATACCACCAACAGGTGCGCAACTAATCAGTATAAATAAACTAGATTAATAAGAATTCATGGAGAGATTGACATTTGAACCAATTTTTTTTTTCGTCCACGATGCAACGATCCAATCATTTTACACATGATATTGTACGTAATGATATTGTATGCACATAATATTGTACATGATATTGTACGCGATATTTATCCCTTTTTTTTCGAGATGATTAGAGTCATTTAAACGCTCAAAGTTCATTGACTACACCCACACAATGTATTACCCTGATGAGGGATTTCGCCTGACACACGTGATCTTTCCCATAGATCTTCTCCTGGTTGTTTCTCAGCTTCACATTCAATTCACACGGCTTTCCAATCTGCCTCGAGCAAACCTGGTACTTGTCATGTTGCTCATGAGGAGTCACTACCTCGGGAAGAAATAAACAGGAAGTCATTTCCTTGAAAGTGAAATCATCAGAGCTATTTGAAGTTCCAACCGATGTTGGCACTCACTGTCCCAAAATCTACAGGGATTCCACTCGAAAATGTCAAAAACCTTCATCTGCGGATCCAGATGCAGATATATTTGAAGAACGGAATTGTAATTGAGAGGCGATTTTGGGAGAACTGAAGATATTTGATGAAGACATTAAAATTTATGGATTATCGACGGAGAAAGTGAAATCGTGGATGACTTGACGAACAAGAAGATAATATCTATAATATTAATATTCTATCCTGCACTAGGAGATGAGTGTAGGTTGAAGTCGAGAGGGCGTGTGAAAATCGAAGGACAAGAATTGAATCGTCTGTGAAAGTTCTCATTAATTTTGAAAATTCATGAAATTCTGGATTTTTCAATCTTTCGGACACTTGGAAATTAAATCCAATCAAATTTCTAATAAAATTCGTTCATTTGGGAAAGTAATGACTCGAATTTTGAATATTTTCGCTCTTTCTCGGTATCATCTAGGCCTAGAAATTATTTCCAATGCTCACTTCATCATTTCTCCATTTTTTATCCAATGAAAGTACTTATTACAAATTTCTTTTCTGTCTGATATTTTTATAACAAGCCATTACATTTAATTTTCCGAACAGGAAAAGAACTCGGAGAGAAAGTGAAACCACCGAAATCAGCGCAAGGCAAGGGCAATAGCTGCTGATAATAGTAATCAATAAATAATACATCAATACGAACAAGAACCTGATGATCACGTGGAAAATCCTGAAGAATAACTCAATACCACCGGAAGTCTCAGACGTCAATAAACTCGCAATTCAATTTTCCTCAAATTACAGACTCAGTAAACTAATCAGAAAACCTTTCAAAACATTGAATACATGAATTAAAATAATCATGAAATGAAAACTTCCGAGAGTAGATGTCCCGAGGTAAACGATAATTACCATCTGGAGAGTTTTGGGCGGTCCAGAGGTCGAAGAAAGTGAGGATTCAAATTCAGGAGAAAAGAACTGGAGATAGAGCCAAAGTTACCCTGAACGTTGAAAAATATTCAACACTCATCATATCTCCATTCACCCAATGACAATTACGCAAGTTTAATAATTTTCTTGCTAGATCTCAATAATCCACCTGAACTAATTACCGCGAAAATCATTGGAATGATTTTTTACCTGTGAAATACTTGTGGACGACTTTCAGTCGGAGTCTTAACTCGTTCGACCTAAAAAATTTCCAATTCATTCGTCTTCAAACTTTCTCAGCTGTGGCGAGACTCGTTACCGAGGTAAAGTACCTCTCGAGAATTGATCTTACAATACATCAGGAGTCAGGTTTGATCGTAAATCTCGAGTTAGTGGTGGATTATATCCTCTTCGTTGCTATTCTGATGCATATTGCATTTACCTGTGGGCACGGCCTCTACTATTACTCATTGCACAATCTATTGCTATATCTATTGCTCTAGGTAATCGCTCCTTCGGTCCTCTCCGCCATTTTTATTTTATTCCCCTCGATAAATGATGAATCCATTCAGAACTTATGCATAAAAAAAACGATTATTCTGGTTCTTCCAGAGAACTGGGTGAATGTCAATTGACTAGACCAAGTGGAATCTTCAAATTGTTTTTAAATTATTACTCAAACTCAATTTCATTCAATTATTTAAACTCCAATTTGGTGGATATCAATTAAAATAGTATTTGAGATATCTTTTACATGATGTAATTATCAATATTTGATGGTATCAATCGAATATCATTTATGAATTCGACGCGGGAAAAGACATTTCAAAACGCCATTCAATAATTTATTGACAACTAATTTTCCACGGATATATCTCGTTACACAATTTATTGCCCAGAGTAATCGCTTCAATTATGGGTGCAGTGGAGGATTTTTCTCTCATTTCTGTAGGTCGATTGTAGCTGCGTTCGTGGATAATAATTCTTTTTTATTTCACTATGAGAAATTGAATTGCGCGCGAAATTTGAGTGGACGATACATTCGGATTATTACGCTAATCTGCGGTAATCCGTTTTTATAGGAAAAATTAGAGGTGTAAATTGGATTATCAATTTTCAATTGGTAGGAAATATTTTCGAGAGGTATAAAGATATTGGAAAATTAATGCCCCTGGGGATTACGCTCTCTGAACATTCTATCAGCAATTCTCCATCGATTGCACAATCTATTTCCCAGGGTATGGATGCACCTCGAATAGTTGATGTTTTTTTTATAAACGAATTATCCAGGTGAATGTGAATGTGACGATTGGGGTAAATGGAATATCTGAATTACTATGTTCAATTGCCCGCGCAATAGCAAGCCCAATAATTGCTAATTGTATGTCTGTGATTATTTGCCTTCGGCTAATGCACCTGGACTCCAGGGTATCCCTCCGGGCCAATTACAACCCGTCGTTTCCACGTTTCCCGAATTATATGCAATTGCTATTTCATGAGATTTCATTTGAGAATCATTCAAAGAAAAAGAAACGAAAAAATCCAATTCTTATTGAATTCGGAAATTCTTTCGGATATAAAAAAAAATTTATATTGAAAAAAGGAGAAAAAATTGTGGGAAAAATTTATGATTAAATTAAATAGTTTGTTAAATAGAGAATCGACTCACCCTTCTCCCGCCAAATGTTGGGCTCGAACTCGTGTAATTCAAACTGTTAGGTAACACCGGATTTTAAGCACCTGAACATTCCATGGAGCTCGCCGACGAGTGACTGAAGGAATGGCAGGAACAACAGAGAACTCCTTGCTGTCTCCACACCACCCAATCCCCAAATGGCTTTCACTTTGTTGCTCACCATCGCGAGGAGACGAGCATCAATCCTCGCACCTATCTGAAACGAGAAAATTATTCGTGTGTGATTGTTCAAATGATTAAACATTTTGGAATGGAATTCCATGTGCAAGTCGCTTTGCGCTCTTTGCGCTCTTATTTCGCTCTCTGCCAGAACACAATATTTTGTCAATATTAATTATATTTCTTGTAGTTTATTAATTTTTTTTATATTGTAATGGTAAAATGCAAATTTCCCGACAAAATTCCATTTGTAAAATTCATTTAATAGGATAATCCTATGCAATCTGTTGGAAACTGCAATTGCCTTCTCTGAAACTTCGAGCAAGAAAAATTCCGCATGAATTTGACAGTAAAATCATCGCCAACGCGCATCGATTCCCAATCGATACTATCTCACCAGGTCTCTGCTTCTCGTTAAAAAAAAAACCCTGAAGAAAACAGATTTTCTGTGCTGCCATCCAACGTGCGTCCGCATCGTGGAATCGAGAAGAAGATGAAAAAAAAGATAACGAAGACAAACTACCACCAGTCTGACAGCATCGTCAGCTCGGTAACGGTCAGAAATTTGAAACAGTGTCCACGTGTCTGCATTCGAGATAACTTCGTCCTGCGGAAAATCACAGCTCAGCAATCCCCGAAAAATTCCGCTGCGATAAGAAATTGGGGGACACCTGCAGCCACTTGAATTCAAAATCTGTATTCAGTTGATAAGACAAACGACTGGACAAACTATCTAGAAGATGTGGTACATTCTCGCAACAATAATAATATCTCTGGTGATCTTCGTCAGTTTGAAAGACCGGAGAAAATTGAATCTTCCGCCAGGACCACTTCCTCTTCCGGTACTCGGTAATCTCTTATCAATAGACCCGGTGAACCCTCATCTGAGTCTATCAAAACTGGCTCGGAGATACTCTGGAATATGCGGCCTCCGGATGGGCTCTGTTTACACAGTTTTATTGACGGATCCTAAACTCATTAGGCAGGCCTTCGCTAAGGATTCCTTCACCGGAAGAGCACCTCTCTACCTGACCCACGGGATAATGCAGGGATACGGTATCGTCTGCGCGGAGGGTGATCACTGGAAAGAACAACGAAAATTCGTGTCCTCGACCTTGAAGAGCCTGGGGATGATGAAGCACGGGGGTAAGAGAGAAAAACTAGAGGAGAGAATCACGCACTCCATTTCCGAGCTGCTTACGAGACTCAAGGACACGGACACGGTTCTAGGAGTTGATCCTCTGGAGAGTCTCCATCACTGCCTCGGGAACCTCATCAATGACCTGGTGTTTGGACAGACTTATGGGGAGGATGATGAGACCTGGAAGTGGTTGAGGCACCTGCAGGAGGACGGGGTCAAGCATATTGGAATCGCTGGGCCCCTCAACTTCCTGCCTTTTCTGCGACACCTCCCCAGGTACAAGAACCTCATGAAGTTCTTGATTGATGGGAAATTAAAGACACATCAAGTCTATAAAAAAATCATTGAGAGTGACCAGGAAGGAAAGGAAAGTTTCGTGTCGATTTTTGCAGAAGTGATGAGGAAGAGGAGTTCTAATAATGAAGACCTGGGGTCTTTTACAGATCAGCAGTTTTATCATCTGCTTGCGGATCTTTATGGAGCTGGGGTGGACACAACGTTGACGACGATCAGATGGTCATTGTTGTTCCTGGCGGCTCATCCTGAGGACCAGGAGAAGATCCATGAGGAGATGGTGGAGAGTCTGGGGGAGAGAGAGGTTGTTCTGGAGGACAGGGGAAGGTTGGTGTACCTGGAGGCTAGCATCTGCGAGGCTCAGAGGATCAGGAGTGTTGTTCCTTTGGGAATTCCGCATGGAACTACAGAGGATACGACACTAGGGGACTTTGATATACCCAAGGGAACGATGGTGGTACCTTTTCAATGGGCAATTCACATGGATGAAACATACTTCGAGGACCCTGAGGTCTTCAGACCCACCAGATTTATCTCAGACGATGAGTTGAAGAGACCTGAAGCGTTTCTTCCGTTTTTGACAGGAAAGCGGATGTGCGTTGGGGATGAGCTTGCTAGGTGGATTTTATTTTTGTTTGTTGGCAGAATTATTCAGAGATTCAGAGTTTCCTTACCTCCGGGTGAAAAGGTCGACTTGATTGGAGATTGTGGAATCACTCTGGTACCAAAACCACATAAATTAATTTTTTCCGAACGTTAATGACACTTTTTATCTAATTCGATTATAAAAACACACAACCGAGACATTTTGCACTAGAGATATTTCTTCCTAGAACATTTCACTTTTTTAAAATAAATGATTAATTGAGATTTTTCAAGTAATCGAATTACGGAGGCAATCCCTTTCATTACGGTTTGCAAAATGATTTTTAGGAAGAGATTGATTAACAACAAAATTACGATTTTATATTACTCGCTGCATTTTATGGTGCACACTTATTGTAGATGATATTTCACTGGTTTCCAATGATATGTTTAACAAATAAAGGAATTTTTAGTATGGAATTAATTTCTTTTCTCAAATAAACGAATTTACGCACCGGTCGAGTCCCTCCGAATAACTTCGACTGACTTCGACTGCAGCGCTGATGCAACATAACCTTAAGTCCAGTGTTTTTGCATTTTCAAAAAACAGCCTATCCATATGGAAATTTTATTTATCATTTTATAATCATTTTTGAATGTAAAAATCACTTGATACTCTAAGGGAAAAACAATGACACCAAAACTGAGGATTTCTTCCAATGTTTTGAAGGTGAGTTCTATTTTTTCTCTTTTTACCTTGAAATGAGTAATTGCCTCCAAAGTGACACTTGAACTGTCAAATTACTCCGAATTCCATTTGATAGAATTATAGGTGAATAATTGGAAAATAATTTTAAGAATTAAGTAAGAACTGGTCAACACTTGAGAAAGAGAGAAACAGTTCTAACGTCAATCGTTCTTAAAAAAAAATTGCGTTAAATGTGTTCAAAACCCGGAACGATATCTTCTTCAGAGGCTCCAAGAGCTCACGTCCAAGGACACAGGTCGTCTCTTCGGTGTGATGTCCGAGAATTCACTGACAGTACTGAGTTTTGCCCTGAATCCTCCAGAGGATGAGGAATCCTCGATTCCTCCAGCTGCTCTGCAATTGAATATGCCAGTGGAGATAGATCTCTGTGGTGTTCTCTTCATAGGAGAGGCCTCGGAGAAAATTCCAGAAGCCTTCAAAGATATCGATATCACCGATAATCCCCTGCTGCTACGATACACCCTGGGTGCTCAGCAGGTGCAGTCCTTCGTGTACATCCACCAGACCCTGAAGCCAGCAGGTGAACCAGAGGTGATTGACGAGTCTGAGATCTGGGAGAGATTTTTTTACATTCGTCTGAGGACGAGCATCCCCATGACCACCCAGAGGTCTGAGATCATCGACGCATTCCAGACCACCAGGAAGAATTTAGCATCTGGATCCGTGGGATTTCACTTTCCTGAGATTGACGTCTACCTGCTGGGGAGTGACAGCGAGTCAAAGGTGATCAGTATAAAAGACTTGATGGGAAATCCTCGGAGGAATTTTCCAGGGGCTGTCGAGGCCATTGATGCATTGATGCTGACGAGAATGACTGATGAAAAATCCGAAGGCTCCCTCAAGTACGCACCTGTCCTCCAACACGTAAAACGACCATTCCAGAGTCTTCAGTTCGATATCAACGTCGACACTCTTTCTATTGTCGAGGGGAGTGTTAATGCCACGAGGCTGTACTCCATCCTCGTGGAGTCTGTCTGCAGAAATCTCCGGCTCATCGAGAGGTCCTTCACCCACGAGCTGAATCAAGAAAAACTCAAGGTTCCAGAAGTCCTGCATTTCAAACCGAGAAATTGCATGCACCTAGTGACGGTGGCTTATCCAAGGGGCAGCAGTGACGAAGACACAAGTCAGTATTTTTTCAAGTTTCATTCAAAAGAGAAATTTGACACGAGATTGATTGGTCTCTGATTTTTTAAATTGCTATGTTTTAGGAGACTATAGGAAAAATCTCCATAAAGTTTTGTCGTTCGATCTCTCGAAGCCTCTGTTCTGTCGAGGCAATGCTGTCAGGTTTTCCAATGATTTCACTAGTTATGAACCGATTTTAAATCCCCATGCGGCTGTCACGTCCCTTGGGAGTGGATTTTCTGTTAGTTTAGTGAAGGGACTTTACGCCTATCATCACTACATGCAGGACAAATTCGATGACAGTGGGTGGGGATGTGCATACAGATCGTTACAAACGATTTTTTCGTGGTTCAGGTGGCTACGAATTTTTATTGACAATTCTACTGAATTTTCAGACTTTATACTGATTTGCTGTGATTTTTTAGACTTCAAGGATACACTGGAGAGTCAATACCCTCTCACAGGGCCATTCAGAAATGCCTGGTGGACATCGGGGATAAATCACACAATTTTATAGGATCGCAACAGTGGATTGGCTCCACTGAAGTGGGATTCGTCCTCGAAACTCTACTGGGAATTTCAGTCAGGGTGTTATGTGCTGCCACTGGGGGACAGATGCAGGAGCAAATCATAAGTCTCAAAGAGCATTTTCAATATCAAGGAACACCAGTGATGATTGGAGGTGGTGTACTGGCCCACACTATCCTCGGAGTAGCTCACAACGAAGAAACGGATGAGATTAAATTCTTAATCCTAGATCCTCACTACACAGGGCCAGAGGATCTTAAAACAATTACCAATAAAGGCTGGTGTGGCTGGAAGGGACTGAATTTCTGGAAGAAAGATGCATTCTACAATATGTGTCTACCCCAGATACCATCGAGGTACTAAGCCTCATAAGACTTCCATTTTCATTCTACGAAAATCGTGGGAAAATTCTGGTGATGGTAAAACGTAACAAGTCGAGACATTCCGTTTTATTCAGAAATATTTCGATACTTTCCGCCTTTGGGAAAACCCTGGTATGTTCTCAAATGAGATGGAATTAATCAAAACTATTGACTCAATATCGCGATTATTGACTCATTACGTTTCATCAGTTCATTTCAGAATTCTCCAGAGTATGGAGATCATTTTTTGTCTTCACCGGTGCACGTTATTGTTCAGTGAAGATATGGTCTTATCAATCAATATTTACTGTAGATAATACATTATTTAATAAAAGTTTTCATGTTACACTTTTAAATTATTCTTTATTATTTTCACAAACTGAAATGAATCCAACACCCAAATCGAATTGATATATTCTCCTCTTTGGAACTGGTGGTAAATAAAAAAAATATTTACTATAATTTTGTATCTCTCGTTTTACGCATCACATTCCACCAGCTGATTTTTGCAATATCTGGGCGAATCTGTTTGTGATTAATAAAGAGACATCGATGAATCTGTCGACACAATTATTTAAACAAGTTTCAGTCTTTGCGTCTAGCTTAGCCCCGGGTTTGTCCACGCATTTGTCCCAGCAGAAGTCATTGAATTCATTTATCTGAAAAGATTTAAAAAAATGACTTTATAAAAAGATTTCTTTTTAATTATGAAATTGCCAAATAATTTTGAACAGAAACGCATGATGTAATTGCATTCACTGTTTAAATCAGAGGCTAAACCCTGGAATACCTGAGCTGTGAGTTGGGCCTTTTGTTTCTCGACTGCCAAGAAATTCTCCAGCTCTGCGTCCACCGATCCTGGTTTCTGGGTCTTTGGGGCCTCATCAAAAGAGGACGAGCTAAACAAGTCCGACATCCTTCACTATTTTTTTTATCCTGCAAGTAAAATCGATTAATTCCATCGTGTACAGTAATATTCCGGATTTGAGGAGATGCAAACAAATATTTAAGAGCTCTCCAAAGAAATATTTAATTTATACCGTACCTTTTTCAATTGCTAAATGAAATAAAAATGTCTTGGAGCAACTGTAGCTCGTCAGCACAATCTGATATTTCACTGTTTTCAGTCACGTGTGAACGTAACCTCAATGCGGCGATTTCTGTTGATCTCACTGTCCCACACTGGCCACATAATTAATTCAAATAATTACCCAGTAATTGATAAAAAATGAGGGAGATTCCTTTATCGAGGTGCGAGAGGGAATTCATTAACAGTTCAGTCGAGCAGGGAATAGTGAGTAAACAATCAAAATTTTGAATTATTCCATTGAATCACGAAGAAACTACTCAAGAATCACATATAACTTAATCAATTCTCATTTATCGAGATATCTATCGAAGAATACTCATCAATTATTCTGTTCATAACGCATTTATTGAATTTATTGCAGAGATTGGATGGTAGACAATTGTTAGAAGCTCGAAAAGTGAAACTGCACTTCGGAGGGACCTGGGGGAGATGTCTGGCAGCTCTCGGTCAGACCCAAGTCATAGCAAATGTCTCCTGCGATATCCAGCCTCCAAGAGTATCAAGACCCAACGAGGGAATGATCCACATAAACGTAGAGTTGACACCATTAGCAGCTCCTTATTTCGAAGCTGGAAGACAGTCGGAGACTGGAGTACTCCTCACTAGACAGTTGGAGAAGTGTTTCAAGGATTCCAGGTGTATTGACCTTGAGTCCCTGTGCATCGTGGCTGACAAAAAGGTGTGGAACCTGCGGGTGGACATTAATGTGATAAATCACGATGGGAATCTCGTGGATTGCGCTAGTATTGCTACCCTAGCTGCTCTCCTTCATTTCCACAGGCCTGACGTCACGTCAACCGGAGATGAAATTATTATCCACTCGTTTTCGGAGAAAGATCCGCTACCTGTGACTTTGTTTCATCAGCCGGTCTGTGTCTCATTCACAACATTCGAAAAGTAAGTTCTTTTTAGTCTAGACGAAAATCCATCGAGGAGATCTGAAATTATTGGATTATCTGACTTTTGCTTTTAACCAGTGGAACGACCATCATGGATCCTTCGTTTGCTGAAGAAAGACTCGGGGTAACTCAATTGACCCTCGGTATGAACGCCTACAGAGAAATCTGTTGTCTCCACTTCGATCACACAACGATCAGTAAAGTGTCCACTGACGTTTTGTCTTTAGTGATGAAGGATGCTGTGAGCCATGCCACTCAATTGGTGAGGCAAATTAAGGAGACTGTAAAAATTGATGTGCAGGCGAGGTAAGTCACTTTATAATGAAAATTGTTCTCTGAATATTCACTGAATGAAAACTGTGGATTAAAAAAATAATCCAGATACAAAAAAGAAGAGGCAAAGGCCTTCAGGCTTCGAGATGCCATCGCCACCGACAAGATCACGTCAATGATAACTGAGAGGATACACATAAGACTCTCCAAGTGGAATTCTTCGACTAAGCATAAATACGAAGTCGAAGAGTCTTCGGATATCGAAATGAAAGAGGAGGATGTGCCTGAGATCAATCGATTGGGCGAAGGTTCAGCGGAATTAATAATCAGCGGCAATCCGACGATTGGAGAAGGTGGTAAAAATACCTGGCACTCTTCGGACTCCTCGGAAAGTGAAATGGAGGACGAAAGCTCCGATGAAATCGAAGTAATCACAGTCGAGGAGAAAAAAAAGAACGTGTTAGATAACATAGGTAAATCATCTTTGATTTTTATATAAATTTTTATTCAATTATTCTGAAATAAATTTTCTCATGTTCCCTTCATCTAGAATTGAGTGACAGTGAAGAGGAGACCACGTGCACAGTCTCAACGAGTGACTTACTCTGATGAAAAAATATGCAAAGAAAAAAAAACGAAAGAGAAAAGTATTCAATAAATACAGAGAATTTGTATAAGTCTTGAATTAACCTATGATATAATTTTTCATCGAGTTTTATCATTAATTCTTATAAAATATACGGCCCTCTATCAACAATTAAAAAAATTCTCTTAAGTAAATTCACAATCCTTTGTATAATTATTCGAAACATGATTCAATCATCTTCCTAGAAAAGATGAAAATAAATGATAAAATAATAATATTAATAATAATAATAATCTAATTAATTATGTCATTGATGGGGATGAATTTGATTGTAACACTAAGAGTATTGGTTACGTTGCGTCATTGTTGAGGCCATTTTTCTGGTCGAGTTTATTGGCATTTGTTTTGACAGTATAGAAGAAAATGCTCAGGGCCTCTTTCTCAGCAACGGGAATTGTTTTGAAGTGTTTCATTAGAGTCTGCAACATCAAAAGTGAATTCGAACCATTTGTCAAAATGTAAATTTATTATTAAATAAAAAATAAATAATTATTATTAAACTTATTTATTGTATATATATATTATTTTTTTCTATTTTATGTACTCACATCAGCTAGTTGTGCTTTATTGAGTCCAGGTCTTGTGGAGACCTTGAAATGTTTCTTGTATCTCCTCAATGTACCAACTTGAAGCTGAAATAGATCCACTTCAGGAAGATCGTTGTCTGTTTCACCAGAGTCTTCCTCGGAGTCCTTCCGCCTCCTCTGTTGTTGTTGTTTTGATCTTGCACACTGTATCACTTGTTTATGGTAATCACAGATGTAGGTATGACGTACCTGAGTAGAAATTCATATATACTCTCATTGAATAATTTTTAAATCCATACAGCAAGAATCAATTATCAAAATGTAGTCATTCCCTTCAGATTGTGAAAAATCTCGCGAGAATTGACAGTGAACTCGAATTTTCTCGGGTAATTGACCAGAAATTACGTCACAATAAATTGACGAAAATGACTAGAGGGAAATTAATTAATTGGAAAACAGAAAGATAATGAGTTAATTAATTGACTCGACTGTTCAATGGGTCGTATTATTTTGGGATTACTTAATAGAAATAATTATTACATACCCCAGCATCGGCGTTCAACTTGAGACGCCTCTGAGTCACTGTTTTTGATATTCTTTTACTGTACGATGCATTTCCAGCTGCCCTTGTACACCTCTCACCATCATCAACTAAACAGCATATCTGATCAGCTGCGCCACGAGAATCTTCCTCACCAGTACTAAACCCATTCATCGTAACGGTCCAATCACCTCATAAAAATCCCATAAAACAAAATTCACTTCCTCTCCACACGCGAATTATTTTTCTCAAAAAAATATAAAAATTCTTTGAAAAATTGTTTTGGAATCAGATCAGGCCCGAACATAACTTGAACATTTTCGTAAGTCCCTTACAGTGCAATGCGCCTTTTTGTGAGTAATCATGATAATTTTTCCATTCACAAAACTTTGAAAAAAATATTGAGATGATTTACAACGGGTTTTTTTTTATCTTCTGCTCCAAAACGAAGGAGAGCTGATGCCAAATCTACCGGTGCACCTCCTCCGATGTTTAGCAATGATTTTTTATGTATTTTTAATGAGGAGGAGACGAAAAGATAACGGGAATACGTCCACGTTTTCCCGATGCCCAGCTTTTTGACAGAAATAGCGTTTCAAGTGGAAAATTCACACTTTTGGGTGGGATTTTTCTTCTTATTTTCAATCTTCTGTAATCACGAGCCGCACGCCGTTGTAACGAAATTCCAACTGACTTCTCGATCCACTTCGAGTGGAAATAAATGAAAAATATATATATAATACAATACACTGGGTATATGATGCCGTGACACGGTTATATACGTTTATTGTTGCTCGGTGAAAATTCCGGCATGGATAAGCTGGCCGTATGTTATGTCGGCGTTTTCAGGATCGACAACACAGAGAAATTAAAAACATGTTTCCCTGATTGATTTCCACCCGATGATTTTCCACATCTCTCATTGGCTGGTTCAGCCCTTCCCTCGGCAAATCGGCCAATGGGGAGACGTGTTTTTGAGTACTTTGAAAATTTCACTCTTAAATCACTCATAAATAAAAATTAAAATCTTGAATTCCATTCTTGAAAATTCAATGCCAAGTGAATGAAATTAAAATTAGATAATTCAGTAGTAAAATAAAAGAGTCCGGAAGGTGTAGAAATAAAAAATCTCAAGCATGAACAAACACATGCCTGAAATTATTTTAAACAAAACAAATGTGTCAAATTATTTTCTCTAGTGAGATTATTCAAAGTGTTGTTACATCAATTAAATTATCGTCGGTGAGAATAAAATAATGTAGAGAGTTGAATTTTTTTTACTCATGTGTGGTATGCCTCACCAAACAACCGCAACCCGCGCAGCAATTTTATTGGTTCCCTGGAGTGTTGGGTCTGGGTAAAGGCCCTAGAAAATTACTGAGGCCCCAAGAATTTTAGTACTGGCCCCACGTGAAGGATGGCGTGATTATTTACTCTTCTGGAAAATAAGACGATAACTCGGGCCCCTGGCGACCTTAAAAATTCGGGCCCTACGTCATGACCTCGAATTACATATATAATTCGATAATGCAACTCAGATTGATGATTTTATATTTAAGTTTGGACCCCAAAATCGATTCTGGCGACATTCCTCCCACGGGATGACATTTGGATTGTCCAGGGGTCCGCTGAACCCCTGACCCTCTACTTCACTGAATCCTCTTTGTACTGAACAATGACAACACTGTCCAGTGTCGCCCTCATTTTCCATATGAAGCACTAACCTTGTTCCAGTTGTTCTGTAAAAATACGTGCCACCTCATCCACCCATTGCACCTGAAAAAAATGTCAAATCAAACTGTCAAGATGAATATTTTTTAAAAAGAATGAAAAAAATGGCAAAATATACGGAAAACGAGGATTGCAATGGTGCGATAAAATGAAGAATAAAACTCCCGCGCATTTGTTTTGATTTGACTATAGCACTTGGTGGTGAAATGATGGGGGCACTGCAGTCGTATATCCCCTAGCACTCAATATACCCCCAGAAAGTCCATGAAAAAGAAACTGTACGTTAAAATGGTAAAAGGTTGTCTCTGATTGGTTTACTTTTTGCGGCTTATCTGAAATAAACCAATGGGCACACAACATTTCTCTGTGGTATACGACGTATGCCGCATAAGTGGCGTGGGGCCCTGCGTTATTCGAAGCCCGAGAGAATCCTTTTAGCTGTAGAGCCAACTGTCCAGGTAAGGGGAAAAACGTATTAAAAAATCCAAATATTTAACATTAACATTATCACAATTTATTCGTACACTATTAATCGACAAATGACACAACGACGTTAGCATTTATTGGAAAAAAAATCACACGACAAATAGAGCATTTCGGATTACTCAATAACGTGTTTCGCGAGTGTTACAATGAAAATAAGAGGTGATTTATTATTTCGTATTTCAATATTTTTTTAAAGATACATTTCACTGTGCAATCAGGTTAATGGAGATGTGAATGAATCAACGGGGGATTTTTCAGTTAGAAATTGGTGAGACGATATATTGTCGTACAACGACGAGCGTATTTATTTTTCATCGAGTTGAGGAGTGAGCAAAAAAAACGGCAGGCAAATGGCCACCAGTATCACAATAATATCCCATTAGATACTGCTGTATCCAGTTTGATTTTTCAATTCATCGGTTTTCAGTGAGTGTTTATTGAATTGTAGATTTTTTTTATCGATTTATTCGTGATATTTGTGGTGAAGTAGAGAGGTGAATATTATTTTTTCGTTGGAGCAAAATGTCGTTTGAGGCGTCCATTCGGAGACGTCCATTACGTGCCTTATACCCAAGCATACACCAAAGGCGGTTTACCCATTCGGTATACAGCCTTATGCCATTGCCCAGGCCAGGGGGTTATATCAGCACATTTACCATAAATATCATCAAAATTTATTTAACCAACAATAAATACCCGTCGCGCTCCAAATCAACGCGTCATCGTTTGTTAAATATGGAGGATGAACAAATTTTAACAATCAAACGTTCTATTTCTCATTCTTAACACTCGATGTTGTGCTTTATTTTGGTTTCCCGCCCGTTCCAAATTCAGGTGTCAAATGTTGATGATGATGACTATTTGTCATGCATTTTAGAAATGGGGTATTTTTTTTTTTCATCATGGGTTGTCTTTATGGGAGAAAACATTGATATTTTTTTTCTTTTCTTTTTTTTCTTTTTTTTTCTCTTTGTTGGTGAGTGGCGGAGGGGCCGTGAGGTGGGGTGAGGGAGGAATAAAAGACACTGATGGCGGGGTGAGGGGGGAAAAGAGCAAGATGCTGACAAAATAAGTGCGTACGTCGGCTCTCTTGTGTGTTTACACGTAAGCGTCGCCTCGAATCTTCGCTTTTGTGCGCCATTTTTGCCTTCAACTGTGTTTGTCAACTAGCTGTCTCTGTTGGCTATCAGTATATTTTTTTTCTTCAACCGCTGGAATGGCATGGGAATTTTCATAGTTGACAGTCCACGGCTGCCAGCATCACTTCGTGCCCTAGTTTCTCCGATTTTTTATTCATATTTATCTTTTCGTTTTAGTGGAAAAAATAATTTTTCTACTGTTACTGTAGTAAGGGTGACAACGGTTTTCGGGTCAACCCTAGTTTCGATTTTTCTCGGTGAGGAGTTTCATTTTTCGAGGAAAACACAGAGGGCGATTTTTTTGGGGGCGTAGGTTTGGGGAGGGGAAGGGACTCTGAGAGGGCTAATGGTGGGAAAAAAAAAGCCGAGGGGATAAACGTGTGAGTGGCTCTTTGGCGCGTCAAAACGAGAACATCATAGTACGTAACGCTCATTTTTTTTGTAATTGTTGAACGGTTTTGTCGACTTTGTTCGGGTTTTTTTTTGAGAGGAGTGGCGGATTGCTGGACTGTGAGGTATGGAATCAACTTTTTTGGGGTTTTTTCGCGGGGTTTGGGCGGATTTTTTGATGGATCAGGAGTTGTTTTGGGGAGTTGTAACCAATGTTTGTGTCAACGATTCTTCAAGGGTGGGGGGGTAATAATAAAGATGGTTGCCGTTGCGACCGCAGCTTTGCGCGCCAAAAATTGAAAGCTCGGCATTTTTTTCAATTGACGAGTTATTGTCAGTGAATTCATCGTGTCTTTGTGTCATTTGTCGTCGATATTTTATCGCTGTAATGATTTTTACGAGGAAATAAGTGTCTTTTAAGTGTTTCGAAGTGTTCCATTAACAGGTACTATTATTCTTAATATTAATTATTTCATCAAGTGAAATTAATACACCACTTCAATCCCAGGGATGTGAAATTTTTCGGTGTAAAAATAATATTCATTTTTTTATTCTGAAGTAACGGCCAGCGGAGGCCTTGGTGAATGCTCCTTGTAATTATGCAGGTGTATTCACATCCGGAATATCGCCTGGTGTCGGTTTTTCGCCCCTTTTTGTTTGACGATCAATGTCAAGTTAACTATTCACAAGAAATAAGTAGAAGTTCGTATTATTGGGGGAAATTCATCATTTGGAGTCCGTAATTTGATCAAATTTGAGATTCTGTTGGGATATTGAGAAACGTAATATCAGCTGGCGTAGATTCAAATACAATCTCTCGATTGTGTGAGTATATGGACGGAGATGAGGGATGAGGCATTGCGCATTGCTCTGGTGTTGCATTATCGGGTAACTCGGTTGAATCGCATTATCTCACTCGTTTTATGTGAAAAAAAAACCCACACGAAAACGTTTGGGAATGTATGAAGGCAATACATCGGGTTAGTTTCGTAAGAATGACCGCTCCATTACAGTATTCCCTAGGGCTTGCCGCGCCTTTACAATTGCATTATGCATTTGAAATTTTGGAGCACAATCGGAGAACAAAAAAAAAATAGAGGTCACCGGGGATGAGAGCCTGGGAAATCGGGAAAAAGAGAGTTCTCTGGGTTTATTGATGGGATTGTTTTATGCTCGCTACAAGTGATTTATTGTCGGGTTTAGGGGAGTATAAATTCTCGGGGTTGAGGTCAGCTGAGGATACCTCGGGTTTAGTTTTATAGAGACGACCGGCCAATTCGGGTTGACCGATTTTTTTTGCTGGGAATTATTAAATTAGAGTGAAAGTTAGGGACGTGGGCCTTGAAGGAGAAATATTTGGGTCTTGATTCAGAGATTGTTGAGAAAATATTTGGAAAATATTGGAGAGTTAGGATCAGTTGTAACTAGCCCAGTTGAGAATCGGAATGGATAAAAATAATGCCCGATGAATTTTTAATACGGGTAATTCCCTTGGAAATTTGAGTTCGAGGATAATCAGTGGTTGTCAGTGATTCCGGTGAATTTGATAAATTTCTGAAATTGTCTGGCTGGAATGAATTCACCTCAGACATTTAATGTGGGTGAAGAAATTGGTATTCTTGTTTGAAACTTCACGAAAAGTTTTAGGGCCAATGGCAAGTCCTGTTGGATATTTAAACCGTCGGGAAATTTGTTTCATTGTGATGCTTCTGGGTTAATTGGCCTTCAACCGCAGCTGGATGCAACTGGGCCTCACTCTCAAATATTCTCATTACCCTTCATGCACTTGAACATGTCTTTGAGGAAAAGATATTTTTTTCCAAAATAGCGAAATGATTAGTCCTACCATTTATTAAAAATCCAAACTGATTGCAAAATTATGAATCAAAAAACCATTGAATTGCCACCAATTGCACCTGCAATTGCTCTCAAGCCCAAAACTGTTACCTGGACAAAAAATTATCCCCTTTTTTTCCCCTTTGGCAATCCATTAATTTTCCACAGTCACACCGAGTCTAATTTTTTTTTCACCGAAGCACCCGGGGTAATAGGGATACAATAAAAGAATCACGAATAGACCAGTGAGGGATGGGGGGCTATCTCCACTGTAATT